TGGAGTCTTTTGATGAGTATTTCTGCTAGGAGTTCCTGATATTGAAGTTGGTATGATTTTTGGTGAGTTCGTTGTTCCAATGAATGGTGTGGTTTTGATGGTCCCGGATATGGGCATCCTTCTTTACTAAGGTTTGATGTTCCTTAATTCTTAATGGGAGAGACCTTGAGTTTTCTTCATCATAAGAGTCACCACAATCACATTTAATGTCCGGACCGTAGTGGTAGAGCGTCCGCCCGAAAAGCGGAAGGTTCGGGGTTGGATCCCCGGCCGCGTCCCACCAAACGACGTTAAACGATGGTACTTGTTGTTACTCTGTCTGGAATTAAGGGGCTGGTCAGCTCGAAGTCAGTAAACTGTGTCTGAGTGGGGTATTCATGTTAAACTGCGGTATGGTATCTCAATGGGCTAGCACTATAAATCGGCATCAGTCCGGACTAGTACAAGCAGCTACACACACAGATACATACGTGCATGCACGTCGCTATATAAGTGCAATAATCTTGGAAGCGACATTAAACCCCATTTCACCTCACCTCGCCTCACATATAATGTACTGGTGGGATCATCTGATGTTGTTGAAAGTCAGCCGTTGGCTTTGAGAATGTTCAGGGTGTTTTCTCTCTGTGGAACAATTCATCAGTAATGGATTGGTGTTTATGTAGTCGGCTGAATGGATGAATGGCTGTTGACGTGTGGAGTTGTTTGGTGGCGTAGGGTCTTTTCTCTAGAGTTGAGGGTTGTGTTGATGGTCTAGTCTACTGATCTGTTAGGGTAGTTGGAGTTTTGGAAGACATGTAGTTCGGCTTCAAGGTGTTCAGACTTTCCTGGTTCGCCTGGCTAGGGTTGCTATTATACCTCTCTTGACTTGTTGGTGGTGATTTGATGAGTGGTGCTGGTGCTGGTCACCATTGGTCGGTTTGCGATACACGCTGGTTTGGAGTTTGTTGAATTCTAACATCAAGGAAAGGTAGATGGTTGTCTCTTTCTTCTTCCATGGTTAACTGCATGCGTGGATGTTTGGCACTCAGGTGTTTGGGGAAAATGTTTGAATCATCATCTGGCTTTAGAAAGACAAAGAGGTTAACTTGTGCTGTCTCATGCCGACAGTTAATGAAAACAAATTGATAGAAACCAGCTTTGGGAAAACACAAATTGACATAAACCTGCTTTGAGATTGAGCTCAGGTAGCTTGTGCTGTGTCACGTGACTTTCATTGACTTGTGGCTTGTTGGCTTTGCAGCGGGTTGCAAGAGTTATATTCTACCGCTCAGAAATCCGTGTGTATCCTGTTTTCGTCATGGCTGGGTATACGGATTTGTTTTCCCGTTCAGAAATGTATAAACTTCCCAGGCGCGACACGTAGTATTTTATCAAGACCACGTGAGCCAATCACGGGCCGTTTTTATTAACATTTTCAGTACTTTCTTTAAAATGCTCTTAACTTACTAAGAAAATTCTTAGGTAAGGGTTACACTAAAAGGCATTTGCATACGCCCGTCCGTCACGTTTCGTTTTCGGAAAGGAACTCTAAAACCATGAGAGATACCTTAACCAAACTTGGCACATAGATATGCCTAATGGTGATAGTTTGGGCTTTTTGAGAGTTATAATGGAGTTCGACTGAAAATGGCGGTAGTGCTCCTTTCCGGAGCGGATCTTCACCAAACATAGATAGGCCTAGTGGTAGACTGTTGCCTTTTAATAGTTTGGGGTTTTATTATTTTTAAAAATTGCCGTTGCAACGACTTTGATTTGGACTGAAAATGGCTCTAGTGATTGTTTCCGTAGCAGATCTTGAACACCGTACAATAGGTCTTCACCAAACTTGGCACATAGATAGTATTGATCATGCCAGTGCTGTGGCATTCCAGACTCCAGTCTACTACTCAGATCATCAGTTTATTGGCGCTGTTGTTCATAGTACACCTCATGATAACCCCTGCTCTCGATCTCTTAGTAAAGTAAGAAATCTCTTACTTCTCTGAATATTGTTTGATAACACAACTCATCACAAATATAGTTTACATTTTCTGTCTGAAGATGGCAAGAAACACCAGTAATAACTCTCTAGTGCCATTTACAAAATGGTCCAGTGACAACTGGGCATGTCATTTGGACGGGGGATATATTAAATGCTTGTTGATCATATATATTGATTTAAATGATTTATGTATTGCTTATCTTATCTATGTACATGTAGGCATGTCAACTCAATAATTTGCATTTCTATAATGTCTATGAATAGGATTTTTTAATGTCATTGACATATTTTCATTTCTGTTTGCATTATCTTTTCTGGTTGATTCAACAGCACCTATATTCACCATCATGGCCAATATGTAATATATGTTGATCACTAAAGAAGTAAACAGAAATTGTCTTTTTAAATAGTAAAATAATTTTTAATCACCGCTTTCAAATTTCCACAACACTGATGATTAATCAACTCACCTTAATTTCTTTAGAAAATAACAATATGGAACGTTGACTGTTATATGCAAACAATAATCATATTTCAGTGATTTGTCAAGCAATCAAGTGATGGCCAATACATCCACGAAACGAATTTGCTGATATTGTAAACATGATATGTTAATTTTGAATCATGTATAAGTGCAGAGATTCTTTAAGAAATATTTTTGTTTTGCAGCACAGTGTGTGACGGTTTTAATGCGCTCATTCGATTGCATTCTCATATGACAAAATTGCAGTAGTTTTCTTTTCAGAAAGAGGCTATATTCGCTTTCATTCCGTAATTTGAGAATAACCTATTTCTTATCTCTACACTTACTTCATACTCGTACTTTAAAGCCGTACATACGCTCACGCGTTTCAGAATACGGTCGTTATGACATCGGTACAACAGTGTAAGCACTTTTAGAACATTTAGAAAATGCGCTAACTTGACGATAGGTGAGCGTCTCTGTCATGTTCATTTCAATTACTCTTCCAACGGGAAGTGCAAGCGGAAGGGTACAGTGAAACAGACGGTGTTGACCGCTTTTCCCAAATGATCGCAATAGAGTGCACGAATGTTATTAGTCATAAATAGACAATTAAGAAAAATAATTTTTTTATTTTAATTTTTTTTTATTTATCAGGGTTCGTACAGTTTTCTAATCACTTGATGTTATCTTAGAACTTACATGACGGCACTTGTTTCGGAAAGCGGAAGCACATGGATATGTTCTGTTTCATGTGTGTGATCCATACGAAACACCTTTGCGATTTTGTTCTGGAATCAAGCACATGCTCCATGACCTTCTTTTCACTAGAATTTAAAGATACCAACATTTAAGTTAGTATGGCGGTGGCTAAGTAATTTGGTAATGACTATATACATTAAAGGGATGATCACATAACTTTTATAGTCATTAAAATGACTTTGATGACACACCATTCATATTATACCTGCATGTGTCATATCAATATCAAAACATTTATGCAGGATGTTTATTCCCGTGTTCATCATTTGCAGCTGATAAACGATGCACACTAGAGGTGTTTATGTTGGTTCTGGCGATGATATAAAGCACATCCTGAGAAAGGTCCAATTCCATGTCTGTTTACCTTATATTTCATCTTATACGGGGATTATGGCATATAAATAAAAATGTCACCAGTAGAAGTACACTTAACAGAACATTAAGCGCCGCCGTCATATAGCTGGAATATTACGGAATGCGGCGTTAAACAACAAACAAACATAACATTATCCTGTCCACTGTGTAAGAGCAACTGCACTTCAAACTCATTCAATATGAATATTTAATCTCCTCACAGTTTACTATAGTTTCTTTTCAGGACTAGTTAATAACATAATTGCAAAATTTAAAACAAATAATTTGGCTATTCTTAAATGTTTGTCAATTTATACATATCAAGCGGTCATTTTGTTAACGGACACGGTACTTAAATGAACTATTATGTACAATAATACAGTGATTCGTTTGCCATTTCAGCCACCATTTGAAACCCCAGGGAAACCGTTGTTTTTTATCATGTTTTGCAATCGCTGCATGCTAAATGCAAAGGTAACTGCTGATTGCTTTAACATCTGAAATGAAGACACAAGCAAGAGCTCCCCTTTGTTGTTCGTATCCGTGAGGTCGTTGTCATATCATAACATTTCAGCAAAATAATTTGATACACTATTTGTCTCCTGGCCAACTAATGGATTAACAGTTGTGTGTGTGTATGAATGATGGATGGTCATGTCTCTTTATCCCCATGATCATGAATGTCACTTCCTTCCTGTTTATTGGAAGTGGAAAAGGAGAGTTTACTCTTCCTTTACCGTGAAGAACATATTCCTATTTCAAAAGTTTCATATGATGGGATGAATGGTCCCATGTGTCTATAGTCTCCTGGTAGTATGAAGGATGGTATCATGTCTTTAAAGTCTCCTGGCACTGTGGAGGAGAATGTCATGTCTCTAATGTCTCCTGGCAGTGAGAAGGATGGTTTCGTCATTCTACAGGCTCTTGATAGTATGTATAGTGTGGCTTGTCTCCATAGTCTGCTGGTAATGTGAAGGATGGTCGCATGTCTTTATAGTATCCTGGTAGTGTGGAGGACGATCACAGTTATCTACAGTCTCCTGGTATCGTGAAGGCGGTGTCATGTCCATGTGGTATCCTGTTATTGTAGCACGGGTTGCGAGCGGTACCTTTGATCTTACCCATGCTGTATCATGGTAGTAAGAGCACAGTTTGTTAAAGATCATTACCATTGGCTGATGCCAAGATCAGCAAGCCCCGCCTACCAGCTTGAGAAATTTCAAACTTACAACAATGTTTCTATAGTGTTGTACACAGTGTTCAAGAGTAATAACATAAATAAACCACAAAAAAACAATAGAAATGTTTATAACTTATTAAGAGATTACAATGTAACTGTCAACTGGACACAAAACGCATTTTGCTAAGGTTACACTTGATTAGATTAAAAGTTAAAAACACAGTTAAGGTAATAACTTGGTTGATTTTCTTTCTCACCGTTCACAACTGCGTGTGGCCTGGAATTCAATATAGGATGACTGGGCGTGATCACCTCCGAGTTTTGGGCAAGTTTGATTTTCTTGGGTGGATCCAATACGTTTTCAATAGATGACAGCATTTCCTGCGACGGTCTTTTGTACTTTCTCACTGCCTTTGTGCTTCTGTGGCCAGTTATACGCATGATTTCCTGCTCTTCGATGCCCTCTTCATACAAACGCGTTGCACAAGTACGTTTCCCGGAGTGGTTCGTGAAATATCCTTCTATTCCAGCACTTTCACACATTTTCTTCATTAAAGTTTTAAGTTTGTTCACACCGATGACTTGGCTGCTGTAGCGTAGGTTGTCGTTGTCTTTCTCTGGCAGTGGTCGCCTGTAAAATGGTCCAGTGTTACCAATTTTCGACAGGTAAGTATTGTACAATCTCGGCAGATCCCCGGTTGTATGATGACGTATGTTCTTGGCCTCCACTGAACGATGATAAAGACCGCCGTTGTAATTCTTCGCCGTCGTCCCTCTGAATTCAATATAATCTCCGATTTGATCTTTATCCACGATTATCTGTTCAACTTGTAAACTTCTGTGCTCGTCACATGCACGGAGTCCAAAGAGCTTGCAGTTATAATAGAAGTCAGTGTTGAGTAGGCTCTGTGAGGTACTGTCTCCAAACATGTTCTTCTCCCAAAGTGTGTTTTCGGATTCTTCAGTGATTGGTTCGGCTTGTTTGGTTTTTGTTCCAAGACCTTTTGCAGTCAGTCTTTTCATTTCAGCATTCAACACTTGTCTAAAACGCAAACATTCCAATTGTTTTATATCCAAGAAGTTCACATGAATATTTCCTTCTTCTCGCATGTTACGTAACAGTCCTGTTACAATTTGAAACAATGTTTTTGGAGGATATTCTTGTTTTCTTGCTTCAAGAACAAATCTTGACATGTAGGTGTTTACATCATCAGCAGTAAAATCCTTCAACGCGGGCACTTTCATTTGTCGAGACCGAATATCTTTCCATTCATTGAAAACTCGTAGAGCCCAATTCGTGTTGCTGCGAATTCTTACTTTCACTGTCTTTCAATAAAGATGCTATGTGTTGTTCAGAAACAGACTTATGGAAGCGTTTTGAATCATTTTCGTCCTCATCAAACGGGTCGTAGTCGATCTCAAAGTTGCCGCTATCAAGATCAATATCCATGTCTTCGCTTTTAATGTCAAATACATTCAAAGCCTACGATAACGTTAGTTGATCTAGTGCAAAGTTCATTTCGATCACGTCTGCAGCTTGAGACAAAGTAATATCATCAATTTCATCAGTCCACATGGTTACACTTCGAACGATTGCTTAAAAATGACGCAGTATTTTCGGAACGGTTCGAAGGCAGAAAGCATGTGACGTCATATTCAACGTCACTAAATTTTACACAAACTCGCGCAATTTTGGAATGACCGTCGCAACCCGTGCTACAAGTCACTTACAATACACCCACCTACTCGTTGTTTGGGCAGTAAGAGCACGGATTGGCTTGGCATTTGATTGACAGACAAAAGGATCACCTCGGGGCTCCGCCCCTCGGTCCTTTTGTCTGTCAATCAAATGCCAAACCAAACCGTGCTCTTACTGCCCAAACAACTCGTCTTGGTGTGTTGAAACTATAACGTGTGGATCAGGGATTCATGTCCTTGTGTCCCCCGGTAGTATGAAGCAGGGTCTCGTAGATCTATTGTCTCCTGGTAATGTCAAGAAGGGTTTCGTGTCTCTATTGTCTTCTGGTAGCATGAGGAGATATATTTGTGTCTGTATTGTCTCCTGACAGTTAAAAGTATGGTGTCATGTCTCTATTGTCTTCTGGAAGCGTGAAGGGGGGTCTTGTGTGTCTACACGCTCCTGGTAATGTCAAGGAGGGTTTTAGTGTCTCTATTGTCTCCTTACAGTAAGAAGGATGGTGTCATGTCATTGTCTTCTGGAGTCTGATGACTTTCCGGGCGCCTATGATTTCATGTTTACATTGTGTGTCATTACCTTTTCTACTAGTGCACAGTTTTAACTACTGTAAACTGAAAATCAATACTAATTGGTGAGTGGTATTTATGAACAATGTTGATCGAAGAAGCATTGCTGCCTACGCAGTCCTCACACATACATGGTTATAATTATGTGCAAAACAGACATTGGACTTCCATTGGATTCGACATGAACGGCAACATGAACAATTACCGTGCTCAATGGATATCATTCATTTTCTTGTAAGATATTAACTATATCACAGCATGTTACCTTCAGGATATCTTAAGTTCGGTAAGTAAGTATCTCGAACGTAATATGCGCTCAAAACTGCGACATGACAAAAAAACATGTTTAGACGACTTGATTGTCTATCATAACGTTCTGTTGACCCGAAATCTAACAGTTAATGTTTCTAGAGTATTCTATTCATATAAATGTGGAAGAAATTTCTACGAATAGGTTTCTCTATTTCAAGGGTTAAATGAACCAAATTACAAAATGAGCTTTAAAAAAAGTATTCTATTCATGTTGATGTGGAAGAAGTGTCTACGAATAGGTTTCGCTATTTCAAGGGTTAAATAAACCAAATTACAAAATGAACTTTAAACATAGCACAGTGACGTATTACTGGTGATGTGACGGTTCACATCCGGGTTAACTGCAGCACGTTAAATGGCGGAACTTCCTTTCATTAAATAAAAGGAGAAATGTAGCGGAAGAACGTGGAATGAGTCCATATTCTACATGTGCCGTGCTGCAATTGCAGTGTGTCTGGCACGCGTGTATCAACAGCACAAGAGCTGGATCGCGAATGTTCCCTTCGGTGGTCACAGTAAGACTCAATATAGCGTTAAAGACAAATTAAAGGAAATTCTTGCAATCATTTGCATAGAGGCAAGGCACTTCTGACAGACAGGTCGTACTGCAAACACTGCTATGGGCGGGGCTTGGTTTGCATTGTGAGATTGGACAATGTCACAGTTTTCGTATTGCTGTCTACAATTTTTGTATTGTTTTTTTTACTTATTCAGTAACAACAATTCACTTCAGTGTGCTTTTCAATACAGAGGTACAATCGTAAAAACCGCTTTGCACACTTGCAGTGCGCACACTGGTTTGCAGCTTGTCATAACTTATAATTCAAATCATTGCAGCACCACATGCAAATGTTAATAAAGAAGATGTCGATGATATGGAAGAGAGGCTCAGGTCTACACTTTATTATATGTTATTACAGATTGGTTGGTTGGTTCGTTGTTAACGCAGCACTCAGCAATATTCCAGCTATATGACGGCGTTCTGTAAATAATCGAGTCTGGACCAGACAATCCAGTGATAAATATCAAGAGCATCCATCCACGCAATTGGGATTGATGACCTGCATCAACCAAGTCAGCGAGCCTGACTAACGGGAGCCCGATCCCGTTAGTCGCCTTTTACGGCAAGCATGGGTTGCTGAAGACCTATTCCACCCCGGAATCTTCACGGGTCTGTGATTACAGAAGTAACGAAGTATGCAAAATACATCAACATGTCTATCTGTCTTCCTATTGCGAGCTAAATTAATAATACTAACGAATACGAACTTTCCCATGTACACATCATAACACCAGGCGGAAGTTATTCATGATGAACATGGCAGGCACATTAACAAAAATAAACAATAAATCCTTCTGCTAAAAATTTGATCAGATGTGGAATATCCGTTTCATAAGCATGCTTTATATTAATTGATTATATTTCTGCCTGAAGCGAAAGCTTGGCCACCAATGCAAATATGCGTTCCTCCAAATTACCATATTATATGACATGAGATACATTTAATAATCAAAAATGTGTCCAGTTTCAAAATTTCTCCATCGTCCTCAATGGCATTTATTTTAAGCTGACCGTCATCTAAACTTAAATCGGTGATATTATTCATCTTTTTAGTTCCGAAAGATAGAAATGTAACAATATCTAGCCCCACGTGAGCCAAGAGCGATAGCGGCTATTCACACGTCAAAACTCACTCACAGCCAACGCCAGTCCTCAGTGAAATATTGACAGATATCGAAACGAGTTACTTCCCCTAGCTTGCTGAAAATGGCGATGAACGGGATCGCGTGTTTCGGCTTGCTAACTTGGTTGATGTATGTAATCGATCCTAATTGCGTGGATTGATACACATGATGTCAAATCACTTGATTGTCTGGTCTAGACTCAATTATTTACAGACCGCCGCCATATACTAGTAGCTTGAATACTGCTGAGAGCGGCGTTGAACAAGAAACAAACAAAACAAACAAAACTTCCCTTTCGATTTATATTTAGGCTAAAATTAAACCAAATTTCCCTCAACTCAACCTCAACTCGATAGGGGAGTTTTTTTGTCGCAGCTCATTTGCTCATTGAATCCGCGAGTAGTGTGTTTTCTTTCGTTATATGATCTCAACCTATAATGCAAAACGTTTTTTGTCTATTATGTACAGCTCAACAGAGCTACGGGTCTACCGACACGGAGCACTTTGATATAACATGAAACCTCTATACTTATGACTGAGTGAGTGTGAGTGAGTTTAATTAAAGTCACGTCGGCAATATTTCAGCCATAATGTGACTTGAACATGTTATACAATAGGTATAAAAACTGTCGACGAGGGACAGTATAATAACTAGCAATATATCACAGATTGACTTAAAACTAGTTGTAGAACACTAAAAATTTGATTATTAAGGTACGACACAATATAAAAATGGGGCTATAGATCGCCAGCAACAAGGGTAAGATCACCATACTGGGGACCAAGGGGACTAACGGTACCTCTGCTACCTGCATGGTTCCCCAGCAGGATTTACACTTCCCCGAGTTACTGGTGATTATTGCGAGTTTAGTCAGATATTAAAAGTTAACAATATTCTGCAGTTAAAATAGAGGTAGATATAAATATACTTTGAAAGAGGTGGTCTTACATACCCTCTCAGGGGGACACAAATTTCTTATGACTGATGGGTGCGACTTTATAACACTAAATAGACATTTCTGCGTACCCGTGGTTCTTAAATCCTTAAATGTGTAAATCCAGCGAGTTCATCGGGATTAACGGGTTTTCACTGCAGAAGTTATATTACTCAGTTCACGTGTATAAGGCGCCGCAATATGTTATGCAGGGATGTTCCTCATAGTCTTAGAGTTTCATCAAATTTGTTAACTTCTAAGACCTGCATCTTTGCTAATACAATGTGCACGCTATTGCCAAATGTTGTTGGAAGCGGCGTTCGACCTAAATTACTCACTGTCCCATTCCTCTGTATTGATAATACAAGTCGAAATTAGAAACAATATGCATATTAAATAAAATAGTTAAACATACGTGCAGTATTCCTTGCAAACACCATTGGAACTTGTGGGTAGATTTGTAGGTGGATGTGATTTCCGGAAACAATATTTTGGTGGAAATATCAAGTACATGTACACCTTCTTTTTAAAAAGGCTTAATAAATGCAAAAACACGTTACTAATCATTATATGAACTGCGTCTAGAGTAAACATGAACAGCTTGGTGAAAGCTCGACTAAATAGCCATAATTTGTGTTTCAACCAAATCATCGCTGCATACCCGAATTAGCCCCTATTACAGTACTGTGTTGAAACAGTCACGATTCGGTTCTAACAAACGTGTGCCAGTTGGTGTGTTACAGTGCGCAGATCTATCTACTAATTTTGTTCACCATTAACCCGAAGGTATATTCCTTATTATTAACACAGAAGTAGATGGAAGCGAAATATGTTTCGTACATGTACGTGCAGTATAGTACGATTTATAAGTGACGATTTAGCTTACC